TTGAACGGGATTCGCGTCATAATATCCAGTTGAGGGCGAATATTACGGCCCTCTATCCTTCATGCATAATCGTTCACTGCGTCTCCCGAGGTCCAAAAATTATACTTGGTCCGGGATACGTCGATTTACCGTATCCAATCTCAGATACATCATTCATTCTTCTCGGATCTTGATACGGGGGTTCCTAGCCTCGATTATAATCACGTCGAGCCGTGCTTCCCCTTCGTTCACTCGTCGAAGAATCGGGAAAAACTTTAACCTGGATTACAAAACTATAAAATTCTTTATGATATCAGTTATTATAAATTAATCTCATCAATGAAATTACTTGGCACTAACAAACAAAGAACCTATCATACATCTACTTTTAACCATAAATTTTGAGTCTGAATTCTAAGAATAGTTAAATACCTTAGCCACTGGGAAGTGTGCCATGTTTAAGTTGTTCTTTTCTAATGCAACTGGTTGGCCAAAGGACGCATTGGTGACTCACTTTTCATAACAAGAGTGTCATCAGCTTACGAAGCATACACACGATTCTCGAATATCTTTTGCAAAAGCAATCCCATTTCTAGAAGATCTTATCCTTATTGCCTGTTTTGGCCAAGTTTTTTTAAAAAACAGTTTTGGTTGGGTAATTAATTTAAAAAATATTTTTATTCAGTAATTAGTATGTTTTCTAACCTTTTAAAAAGTATTTTTAAGTATATTTTCTCAAACGTACTTTTAAAAAAAATATATTTGGGGAAGCTTTTTTTTAGCTTTTCAAACATACTTTTATTTCTACTCTAAAGTATTTTTTTTTTCTTCTAAAAAATTGACCAAACACCTTACCTTTGAAGAAATAAAAAATTAACAAAAAATACTTTTAACCAAAAAATAAAACTTAGGCCAAACATACTATTTGTCACCCTCCGAAAATCACTAATCACTCGCAAGTTAGAGGAACAGACAGAGAAAAGCCAAGAATTGAAAGATGAAAAACAAGTTTTAAAATTTATTCACACGTAAATTATTTTATCTACAAATTATATCGATGTAAAGACATAGGAAGAAGATTATCCTCAAAAATTTCAACTCTTCAGAATATAGGTAATTCAAAGTCAAATGCGAACCAAATGGTCCCGTTCTCTCTCAAAGAATTCTCTATTCTCAAATACACAAAAACTCATCATAAAAACGAGCCCTAACTCTATTTATGCTTACAACAACAACAATTTCAGTTGAAATTTCGCAAGTAGAATTTGAGGAGAATTAGAGGAGGAGCCAGGATTTTAAGTTTATGAGTTCGAGATTCTAATCGTTTGAAGTTACTGGGTTCTAGATTAATAATTTATACATATTTAATAAATTTTTTAAGACAAATACATGGTTCGAACCAAAGCTACTGAGTTCGATCGAACCTGTTACCGGCACTCTAGCTCCACCTCTGAAGAGGATAGTGTATACGCAAATCTTATTTTGTAACTTGTAAAAATAAAGAGATTGTTTATGATAGATTCCTGGCACATAGAAAGATAAATAAATTTTGTTGGTGGATGATTTGGGCGCTCATCCTTCTCCTACTTTGATGCTGATTTTTTCTTCCCATAAGTCATTATCAAGAAATGGTGCATCTTTTAACATCTAGTAAGATATCTATTAAGTGACGCACTTTTATTTTCCTTTCAATTTTTAATTTCCCTTTTTCTTCTACTTTTTACTAAAATAAGATATCTACCAAACGAATTGGTCATTAAAAATCCATCACAAAAATAATTATTCCATTATCCACTTGATCATTGGAGATAATTTGAAATATATCCCCCTCCTTCCAATTGCGTGATAGTTAAAGAAAAAAGAGATTCCCACGTCTTTAACAATTGGTCCCATGCTATAATATCTCCTAAGGTTCTATTCAGTTGGTCTAGAATTGATGTCATTCCTCACCCACCCTACCCCACAACCCAAATAAATAGATTTCAGAATATAACAAAAACAACAACAACAACAATAATAATAATAATAATAATAAGCGGAGAGTCTATCGCAAATAGTTTCTTTACTTTCACAAGGTAGGGGTAAGATATGGGTACACACTACTTTTCTCAAACTCCATTTATGAGATTTTACTGAATTTATTATTGTTATTGTTGTTGTTGTATTAGTGATAATAATAATAATAATAATAATAATAATAATAATAATAATAATAATAATAATAATAATAATAATAATAATAATAATAATAATAATAAGTAGTTGTAGTAGCAGTAGTAGTTTTATTTTATGTACATGCGATGAAAACAATAGGAAAAATTTCACATAAGAACAACTGGGCTTGCTACTTTTTAATTTTATAGCCCACATTTCAATTTAGAACCAACTAGACCAAAAATAATAGTAAAAATAGCACGGGTTAGCCAATTTTCAGACTGGTCATTCAAAAATAGTAAGCGTTTGCCAAGTCATTAAAAAATAGCAACTATTTTGCTGCAACAGAGACCGGTCCAACATAATATACTGGGGTTCGGTGCACCTGTGTATGAACTTCCAGCATATTATGCTGGAACTCCAACACGCGGAAAGTTCCAGCATAATATACTTGAGATTCGAGCACCTGTGTATGAACTTCCAGCATATTATATTGGACCGGTATACTTTGCAGGAACTCCATTATATTATGTTGGAGTTCTAGTATACTTATGCTGGAACTCCATTATATTATGCTGGAGTTCCAGTAAAGTTATGCTGGAACTCCACTATAATATGCTGGAGTTCCAGTATACTTATGCTGGAACTCCAGTATAATATACTAGAGTATTTTTCGGATTTTGAACAGTGTTTTCGTTCAGATTTATCTTTACATGAAAAATGACTATATTTCGATTACTTTTGAAAATGTGGCTATTTTTGAATGACCACTTGAAAATCTCGCTATTTTTGAATTTCTCCCAAAATAATAGGCTAAGATTCAACATCCAACTCCAATAGGTTTTAAAAATTACTATTTAATTTTTAAAAAATATTGCTCAAGCTTTTAAGTTATTTTTCGAATCAGTAACCGTAGCTCAAATATTAGTTCAACAAACCAAATCCATTTGGGTGGTGAAAATTAGATTTTTTAAAAAACTTAAATAGTGGGTTTAAATTTTGAATTTGAATTTGTGAGAAGTTTGGAGTGGATGTTATTTAGACTTGTTAGAAATAGTATAAGGAGGTTGTATATAAAATTTGAAGTCATTTAATGGAGATTTGGACTGGGTTTGAACAAGAATTATAACTGAAAACCGTGGAAGAAGTTCGTCTCTTGTATAAAGGTATATAAAAGTGTATAATAGGGTATAAGATGTGTTTATACACTCATATATACTATTATACAAGATTATATATAATTATACAAAAAACTGACTTCGTCTTCTTCATTGCGTTTTTTCTGAAATTTAACTCAAATATATTCCAAATCACTTCAAATTTAAATTTTGAACTCCTTTTGATATTTTCAATCAATTGGAACAACACCCAATCCAAACAACTACAAACTCAAAAAATCATATTTTCGAAAGCAAAGCATTGAATAGCCTTCAATGATGGGCTTCTACTCTTCAATTTTCTTACATTGCAATCAGGTGACACGGCGGGGGAAGTGGGGGAAGCAGAAAATATATGGTACTCTTCAATTTTCTTATATTACAATCAGGTAACACGGCGGGGAAGCAGAAAATACATGGCCCCTCGAAGTATATGTTGAAGATATGAGAAGAAGAAGAGAGAGTGAAAATCGGGTAAAACTTAAAAACATAGGTTATTTTTTGTTATGGTGTGAAATCACGCGTATTTTCTTGTAATTCTTTCAAAAAAAATATGTATATGATCAGCTCACACAAAAGAGTCAAACAATTTGTTTTTGATTATGCATATTTTTTGTAAATATTTTTAAATATTTTAAACTATTAATTATTGTGACTTATAATATTGTTATGTAATTTCTAAATAGGTAAATTTTATTTCAAAAATTATTAAAATATTATGCTTAAATTTACACCAAAAATTAATCAATTTAATTCTTATACATAAAAAAATTTTACATAAATTGAAGCGGAGGAAATACTAACTTACATAATTACCAGCAGAAAAAAATTCTTTTTACGACTCTTTTTATGTTATGTTATCTGCTGCTAATTCTGAGTCCTATACATACTCTGTATTTAGATAGAAGATATCTTATCTTTAATGATACTATTAGTAGTTAATTTATTTTTAGGTCTCATTAATTCTTGTTTATCTTATCCATTACTAATTTCTGGTGCATGATATAATTGGTACGTGGTGAGTAAGCAATGCCTATTACAATAAGTGGAGAGCTATGAAAATAACATTAATTTAAAGATTAATAATTCAGCAGTTAAAATAGTGCGAGTCCACGCACATTATCCCCTAGTATGTACCATTTTCTGATTAAAAGATATGAAAACATTCCTTTTCCCCAAGTTACTTATAGCCTGTTTGGCTAAGTTTTATTCTGGGCCAAAAGTAATTTTTTTGTTAAAAATATTTTTTTTAAAAGTTAAGGTATTTGACCAAACTTTTTGAAGAAAAAAAATATTTGAGTAAAAGCAGAAGTAGAAAATAATAGCTTTTTTCCAAAAGTATTTTTTAAAAAATACTTTTGAGAAAAATATACTAAGAAGCACTAAAAAATACTTTTGAGAAAAATATACTAAGAAGCACTTTTTAAAAACTTGACCAAACACTAATTGTTGTTCAAAGGTATTTTTCAAATTGATTAGCCAAACACAAACTAATTTTCACCAAAAGTACTTTTTAAAAAAGCACTTTTATAAAAAACACTTCTCAAAATAAATAAATTTTAAAAGCTTAGCTAAACATGTTATTAGTCATTTTGTTAAGTTCTTTCGATATTTCTCAATAATTTTTTTATTTTATCAATTATTTTAACTTGTTGAAACTGAAACAAATTAACGACTAAAATAAGCTCGTAACTTATAAGATGTAATTAGTGGAGCTAGAGAAGAGAACGTCCCTTGCAATATCAAAAACTGTACATATTTAAGACGAAAAAAAAGAGAAAAAAGAGGAGACCATATACTCTTCCATTTATCCACTCAAACATATCGAAAAAGTACATTAATATTCTAAGTAGATTCAACTGATTTGGGAGATATATTATTTTGCTTATTAACAGGCATGGATTTTGATCTCTTGAACCATTCACTTGCTGTGTTACCAGAAGATGGGGTACGGTGATACCTGCACCTGATATATTAAAACATTCAATGTATTTCATATTAGAAATTTCATAAGGGGAAAAGGAAAAATATTATATAAAAAAAACAGAAGAAATCTCGTGACGTGATATTATTACTGTCTCAAAATAATTACTCCCTCAATTTCATTTTATAAAATCCTTATTTCACTAGATACGAAATTTTAAAGAAAATGATTGTTTTAAAAGCTTGTCGTTTTAAGGTACGGTGATACCTGCACCTGATATATTAAAACATTCAATGTATTTCATATTAGAAATTTCATAAGGGGAAAAGGAAAAATATTATATAAAAAAAACAGAAGAAATCTCGTGACGTGATATTATTACTGTCTCAAAATAATTACTCCCTCAATTTCATTTTATAAAATCCTTATTTCACTAGATACGAAATTTTAAAGAAAATGATTGTTTTAAAAGCTTGTCGTTTTAAGGTACGGTGATACCTGCACCTGATATATTAAAACATTCAATGTATTTCATATTAGAAATTTCATAAGGGGAAAAGGAAAAATATTATATAAAAAAAACAGAAGAAATCTCGTGACGTGATATTATTACTGTCTCAAAATAATTACTCCCTCAATTTCATTTTATAAAATCCTTATTTCACTAGATACGAAATTTTAAAGAAAATGATTGTTTTAAAAGCTTGTGGTTTTAACTTTTAAACGTGACTTAATATATTTGTGTGGTTATAAGATTTTTAACTACTAAAAAAATATGAATTAGATACGGACATATTCTGCAGCTAAACAAAAAGATCCATCGATAATCCTATTTAATGATAGATTATCACTCCCTCCGTTTCAATTTAAATAAAATAGTTTGACTCGACACATAGTTTAAGAAAAAAAAAAGAATTTTAAAACTTGTGATCTTAAAAGTTTAAGGGGTAAAAGTTTTATGAGGTCATGGCATTTGTGTAGTTATAAAAACTTTTTATTTAAGAGTAAAATAAGTAAAAGGAAAGTACATCATCTAATTTGAAACGGAGGGAGTAAGAAATTCTGTTAGTACGGGCGATTTAGAAATATATTAGCGCCGAAGTTCATAGCTATATCAAATTTTTTGTAGTGTTTAGAATTTGTGATTGTTAAATATGTCATAACACTTAAAAAATAGTAAGTTATTAAAAGTAAAATGAGAAATTTAATTTAAACAGAAATAAAATACTATTCTATTTTAAACAAACTAAAAAGAAAATAACGTCAACAAACAATACCTGAAAGATCCTCTATGAGTCGTCGGCGAGCACAGGCACTGGCCTTTCGGCGAGTTTGTCGGCAATGAATCGCCGTTGGCGCAGTTATCTGTAGTGGAGACGGTGATACTCTTATGGGAAGCCATAGGAAAAAAGAAGAAGAAGAAGAAGAAGAGGAGGAGAAAATTAAAAGGTTCTTTGGTTGAAGAAAGACAGATGTCAAGAGTTCAGTATTTATAGGACAATAATTGGAGATTTATCCTCAAGCAAGTGTGATTATGTGAGGCAGGAAAGTAATCAGCATTATCAAGTAATGTTTGACTTAAAACAATAATAACATACACAATTTAATTTGACGAGTGAGGTATGGGAAGGCTACATAATATCTATATAGACCTTGTCTATCTTGTAAATAGAGGCAAAGCTATATGTGACCAAGGATGGTCAATTGTATATTTTTTTTTGAAAAATTATATTATGTATAAGGTAAAATATTAGTATTTGTTATTGAGAAAAAAATAGACTTTGAACACCTTTGCATAGCCCACTGATAAAGTGTGTTCAAATTTTGAACACCCTTAATGAATTTTTTGATTTCGCTACTGCTTGTGAAGATAGAAAAGTTTTTTTTGATATACCCTCGGCCCAAGAAAAACATAACTACAACAGTTTACAAATCATGAGTAGCTATCAATATTTATTCTTAGACCACTTGATACTGTATAAAAGTTAGGCACTTCATTTAATTTTTGTATATTTTTTCTTTTTCCTTTTCCATACGAGTACGATTTTATTTTCTTTCTGCACTTTTTTGTCATCACTAGTTTTTAGACTAAAAATCAAAATAAGTGAAACATGCCGTCCCCACTTTCAGATACTTTGAATATAATAGTACAAGGCATGGAATCAATCATTACAAACGTTTCCTACTGGTATTATTTTTTTCAGGTTTCGTTTTTGGCATGGAATTTTAAGTTTACATAGGTTTGTATCTCCATCATTATTTGATTTGAAAGAAATGGTGTAGCATAATTATTTCAAAAGAAGAAAATAGTCCTATAAAAATCTATACTGTTTATATATTATCATTCTCTTAGGTTTTAATATTTCATGTAAATAAACTAGTTTATAATTTAAAATATATTTGTAATGAGTCCTAAAAAGCGCCAATGATTTCGCTTGTTATTTGAAAATCAAGCCAATGAACTGGATTTGGATGCACTTTGAAGTTTAAATTTTTTATTTTGACAAATACTTAATTCGATATGGTATAGGAACAATTGGGTTTGAAATCTTAAAATAATCTCGCTTGTTACAAAACATCCTCGTGACACAAATTTAAAATAAATAAATAAATGTATTTTCTGTATAACCGTGAGATAATTACAAAAATGCAACATATTCAAGCTGGCTAACCCGGTCCCTGAAATTAGTAAGGAAAAGTTANTATATATATATATTATTTACTAATATATAAAAAATTATACATTTTACCGGCTATTATTTTTGGTGCGATTATACTACATAATTTTTCAAGAGAAATTTTCGAAAATCACTATTGTTTAGTGATTATTAACTTCCTATAGTTATCATATACATAATTACTTCCTATAACTACTATTCAGTTGTTATGGTAGTGTATTCGAGCTGCTGTATTCATGAATACAACAACAAAAAGCGCCTAAAAATCAGGGTAGTCCAGTTGTACGCGCATGTATTCACATGTATTCGCGCCATGTATTCATGAATACAACAGCAAAAAACGCCTAAAATCAGGTAGTCTAGTTGTACGCGCATGTATTCACATGTATTCGCGCTACTGTATTCATGAATACATCATCAAAAAGCGCCTAAAATCAGAGCAGTTCAACTGTACGTGCATATATTCACATGTATTAGCGCCATGCATTTATGAATACAGTAACAACAATCATATTAAAAATAGGTATGTCCAGCTGTCTAAGAGAGAGGAAAAAACATAAATAGCGTATTTCATGCCTCAATGGTAGTATATATTATAAATACTTATTATGCTATAAAATATAAAAGGTAACTATAGAAAATAATATTTTAAAATAATTTTGGTTTATAATAAATAGGGTGTATACCTTTACAGTAAAGGTAAAATTTATATTTTTCAATTAGTAAATCAGAGGAATTGACAAATGGCAGAGGGTCCTTATCTGGACCATTTCCTGCCTGGTCGTGACATTTTTGGTTATGGGCTCTATTTTCAATGAAGAATATGGACGATTGGGCCACAGGCCCATACTCATCTACTGTTGCCACGTCCTGCAACTCTGGTACTCCGAAAAAGTAAAGACAATTTAATGTTCTTATCCAAATCAATCTACTAAGCTTATCCTCGCAAAACCAAGGAAACATTATGTTCAATTCATATTTTCGTTATCATTATATGATATATCTATATTGTACAGGCGTTACTAATGTGGAAGTTACACATTTGACTGTTCCATAAAAAATTATTACGTGCTAGTTAAATATATAAAAAATAAATATAAATACGTATATTATATATATCTTATAAATTAATATATAAAAATATATGATTTGCCTAATGTCTCTGTACTTCACACAAGGTAAGGTAAGATTGCGTACATCTTATTCTCCGAAGACCTCATATGTGAGATCATGTTATAAATAAAATTGTATTTAAGGTGAATGTCTATATTTTAGAGAGGTTTTAGGGTTTGTTACTTTGTGACTAAGTCACATTTTCCCTATAAATAGTGAGGTCCTATTCCATTGTAATTCATCCCAAATCGATATATAAGAATTCTCTCTCTTCTTTTCTCTGCACTACTCTTCTTCTTCTTTTATTGTTTTATAACACGTTATCAGCACGAAACTCCAACCAATTGAGTAAAGGCTTTGGGATACGTGCATGGTGCTCAACTTAAACATAATATCGAGCATAATGATTGTAAATTATTCCATGAACTTCCTTCCAGAATAAATTCTGGATTTAAGGTAAGTATTTTACGTTATTTTTCTGTTTTAATTTCTTGAAATTCTATAATTTGATTTTAAATACAAGTAAAGACAATAAATTTTGATTATAACTCTAATAGAGTCTGTAAGAAATTATAACCACCCGAAGTGGTAAAATTTCTATGCCTTGCCATGATCAAATTCATGTATGATTGTGGGCACAAAAAGTGAAAACACGTCCCATTGAATTTGCTTCATTCTTATTCCCTTAAGAAAATATGGTAGCAGTATCTGATAAGACTGAAAGAAGACAAAATTATTACCATGAAGGTATCACTGGATGTAGACGTGGAAATAGACGAAATTATAATCATCATCATTGTGGTAATGAGAACAATAAGGATTCTCAAAATAATCTTTCACTCTGTGAAATTAATGTTTGTCATCGATTTGACATGAGATTTCGTAAAGCACATATAGATGACTATGGTCTATTCATGATGTGAATGTGATAACATGTGATTTATGAATACGTATTGATTCTTGGAAGAATATGAACGTGCTAGTGGTAATGAATATGCCACGCTCACTCTTAGAAAAAGTTTGAGATGAAATAAGAAAATAATTTCATTATTATAGCATGATGGCCATTGATCACGTACCTATTGTGAGTATGTTGCCAAAATATTATGGCAATGTGATTATTACTGTGCAAAAGTAATGGAAGCAACATATGTTGCCTATAATGATTTTGACTATGACCATAATGGTATAACTTTCTCTTTGAAAGATATATATACCATATGGATGTTGATGAATATGTGGTAGTACAAAATTAATTGAGAGCTCTGGAACAACCAATTATTACTATTTTGAAGAAATAAAATTGATTATCAATAAGGTATTGTGTCGTAGTAAGTCTCAACGAAGCATATTTAGTTTCTAAAGTATTCGCGAAAGCGGTTGGTTATATTGAGACCAAAAATAAAGAAAAGATTTAATATCTTCTATTACTACAACTTGTAGTAGGGTAATATGTATGTGAAAAGTTACATGCTTTATTCTCCGGTTTGTACTACACAAATAAAAGAATGCCACAATAAAGTAGAAGTTTATTGATATAAAAACTGATATCATAATAAACTTAGTGTTTATTGATAATTTCACACGTCATGGTATAAACCTATAGTTTATCAATATTAATAAATTATTCAGTTGGCATAATTGATTTAGCCATATCAATTTAAGTATGGTGTGAAAAAATAAAAGAGAATTCACATGATAAATATTACATAACTAGAAAGTTCTTTACGAATTCTCTGATGTTGCTTGTTATAATTAATTAATAGACCAACTAAAACTGGGGTTGAATCCCATAAATGCTAGAAATATCAAAGGTGAATGGCCCCATTTACCTGCCATGTATACCACATAAGATGTATCTATGAGATGGTTACATGTGCGATTTTTATTAACCTGAAACTTGGTATTTGCAAGGTAACTTGCTCAATAATTTAATTTAGAGCATAATTTTCATATTATCTATTCAAGACAGTTCATCTTGATAAGTTGGTTTACATCACAGTTGGTTTAGCAAAATAATTTATTGATTGTCACCATTTAATAGCTAAAATATTGCTTATGAGAACAAAGTTATCTATATCAGTTTGGTATAGGTTATATACGAAAGTATATTACATTCTCCTCTCACAAGTAGTTCAGGGACAGTAACCAAATAATTCCAACTTATTATTATTATTATTATTGATGTGCGGTGTTATTTTGATTAACACCATAACGCACAAAGGTGGATTTTTAAAGTTGAGGAAGCAAGTTAGTTTTTCTAACATGAGGGGAAGAAATGATAAACAATTGAGAAAAAGTTACATGGAATGAAATATCATTTCTACATCTAGATCCTCGAATAAGATAATATGAACTCGAAGTTCATAAAAAGATAATTCATATGCAATATATTGCAAAGCATGCCAGACGCATTTGCATACCCAAAGAACGTAACTATATTCTCATTACAAATACTCCTATTAGAATAAGTCCTAGAAGGACAAAGTCTATGGTATGCTTAAAGTGTATAGACAAATTGGTTTCAAATAAAACTGTTGATGAAAAAGAGGAGCAAATGATCAAAATAGTCATAATATGGAGGCAAATGATCTAGAAGATCACGTGATATAACACTTCATAAACCTCAGGAGAGGTTCAGGTACCTAAAATGAATGAAGAGATCTCTATATTATGTCTTTATGGAAAAAAGGAGGTATTGGTAATACGGAGGCAAATGATCGTAGATGTTCGTCGACTACATCTACGATAACACTAAATATATATGAGAATCTTAAGTGTGGAGAAACAATTCAAGTAGAATTAGTTTTATATGAAATTC